TTACTTAGGAAACACCCTTGTCTACAAACCTTGCAGTCCCAAACTCTGACACAATGGCCTAAATCCAACCCAAATTGGCCTAGTTCCAATCACAGCAGACCCACTGAATCAGCTATTCAATGGTGACTCAAAACCTATGTCAATTCCATTTGTTCAATTCTCTTTTACTGTTTTTGGTGAGTAATGCCTGGATCAATGCTATTGAAACAAGTCTTCCTGGTCTAAGGTAGGTGATAGGAAATGGTCTGAGGCTGAGTCACAGCCTAGAAAAATTAGTTTGAGTTTTACTACTAGAGGGACAAAATTCCAGAATAACATATAAAACATGAAACAATAAGAAAAAGAAAAAGTCTATGGGAGAAAAGGAGAACTCCTTAGACTGATAAAAGTGCTACAGCCTCATGAAGGAAGACTGGTTGGACAAATGTTTTTGTTAAAAATGCTATTAGTGGCTAAAATCTTGTAACTTTTGCCACTGACGGCTGCAGATGATTTTACTGGCAGCACCAGCATCAGTTATTAAAGACATCCTTGTCCTGCCTTGCAGCTCTCCAGCAATAAAGATTACGTGGGAGTCTTGAGAGCTTCAAGGCAAAATCAGATACGTTTAATTTGTCAAAACCCGATTATGGTGGTGGTGATGATGATGTCATCAGACTTACATGACTTAAGTTATGCAGCAGAATTTCAGCCAATATGTTAAATTTGGGAATCTATTGACTGTCAAGCTTAGAGCCATGAGCATAATCTGAAGTTACTTGATAATAGCCACTTTGTTGAAGCAAAGGTGGACTGCCTGGGCCATAGGGCTGCCTAGGAGTCTTAGGTGCACCATCTTGAGTTCTATGAAGAGAAGAGAAGAAAATTTAATAGCCAAAACCTTTTGCTGCCTACAGTAAATCAGAATAGCGATTCTGCATCCTTTGGTCCAAGGTTTGAAAATGTTTTTATTATTTTGGCAAGGGAAGAAGAAAACCCCACTACAGTGGACCCTCTACTTACAAAATTAATCCATATTGGAACAGTGGCTGCAAGTCAAAAAGTCTGTAGGTCGAGGCTCCATTGACTTACAATGCATTGAAAACCGATTAATCCGTAACCGTCCGTTTTTGTTCCATTTTGGTTTTTTTCCGGTGTGTAGGTCGATGCTCCGGCTGCAAGTGGAACCTAAATTTTGCGGCCAGAGGAGTCTGTAACTCAAAAAGTCTGTAAGTGGAGCCATCTGTAAGTCGAGGGTCCACTGGTTTTTTTTTCCCTCTGGACAATTTGGAAGCCATCTGTAAGTCGAGGGTCCACTGCAGTTTTTTTTCCCTCTGGGGATAAAAATGCTTGAGGAGAGCGTTATTCAGACAACTTGGGAAATGGTTAGCCTGAATGAGTGAGCAGGGGGAATAGGCTGCCCTGCCCCTCCCTCACAGCTCCCTTCACCTTCCTCTCATATAGGTTCTCCACAGAATTGGAAACCCTGATTTTTCATGCTTACAGACCACATGAAAGATAGCAGTGGGCCAAGGAACATCTCCAGTCTGTTAAATGCCTCATGAAGAGAGCAAAACAAGAGGAAGGACATGCTAAACTGTTTCTTCTGCTCATGCATTCAGATTAAGTTTATCCTGAATGTCTGAATAGGGTATGTATATGCCAGTGATCGAAGGCATTGTTAGGAAGAAAAGGCATCTATTCAATATTCCATTTAAATCAGACAGACAATGCTTAAAAGGTGATGTAAACAGGAAAGTTACCTCAGCTCCCACTGTTCTGCTTTGCTAATGAAGTCATGAGGCTTTTCAAAGTACTGCCTTCCTAGGGAGTTATAATAGCAGATAATGAATATTTAGCTAGATTTTTACAGTTTAATTTTCAACATGGCTGGCAGGCGATAACTCTAAACAGACACAGTTTCATTTTTCATGGTTTTTTTCCCCTTAATCATTTCCCCTGTAGGCGCAAATGTTGTCAGAGAATCTGTTTTAAAGGAGCCCAATAAAATCTTCTTAGAATATCCAGCTGGTGCAATTAAAGGATTTAGCTCGCAAATTTCCACGAAAGCACTGTAATTTGAATATCTATGAACCAGGGGCAGGTGAACTATTTAGCAGCCTCTCAATCTACCACTTTATGCCTTCATGGCTATTTTTTAAAAACACATTAGAACAAAAAACCAGTTGGGACAACTTGGAATGAGGCATCAGAGATCCAATTTTTACATCCCTTCCAAAACAATATTTAAATATATATACAGTAATTTACATATAAAGATTTGACTTACCAATCATGATGCAAAACAAACTGTGCAATACACAACATCAACAAAAACCATGAAATTGGTATAAATCTCACTTTTCTCAGATAATTAAAAAAACTAATCAAATATTAAATTGGCAGTATCCTGTTCAATTTAAATGTATGGAGAATGGCAATCACGTAAGTGTTATTGTGGGGTGGGGTGTTTTGGTTTTTTGTTTTTTTCAATTCTCAAAGGCATTTCTCAAGTACCAAGTCATATGATTGATTGCGGAACTGGATGCACAATATTTGTATAACTGGGTGTTTGACAGATCTTGGCAAAACTCTTACACAATTGCACTTCTATGTGCAATAAATGGAATGACAGGAAACAAAATCTTACATTGGTTGTTGTGGGTTGTTCGGGCTCTTTGGCCGTGTTCTGAAGATTGTTCTTCCTAACGTTTCGCCAATCTCTGTGGCTGACACCTTCAGAGGACAGGAGTAGCACTTACATTATTGCAAAGTAACGTCAAACACTCCAAAACCATATAGCTGCACTCAAGCAAAGTAGCAGAGGATCCTGGCCTACCATTCATGAGCAGAGTGCTTATGCGCATTGCCTGATCATGCCTGCTCAGCTTCTGCTCAGGGAAGAGTGGTTATAGTCACAAAAAACATACCATTCAAAAGCAAATCCCACCACAATGCTTTGCCTTGCACTTGCATTAAGGGAGCTCACAACAATATAATGTTGCTAGAAGAAAACTCCATCCCCATCCTATGTTACTGTGTAGAGTCCAGCTAAACTCAAAGGCCGAAATACTGTTGGTCTCATGTAATGGCTGCAAAACTTCTCTCTCAACTTAATTGTGCCTAACTGATGAAGTACCGAGGCACATCTTGATTGCACAATTATGCGTGTGACCAGACTGAGATGCTCCCCAGCATCTTTTCAATTGGTTGTTATTACCTGCAGTAACGTATACAAACCTTATGTAAATACTTGTAGGGAGTAAAGCATGGGAGAGGAGGGAGCAGATGCTGTCATTATCTCTCCTAACTTTAAAAACCTCATAATCTGACCCTGTGGACTCTGGTTCCTTTGCACCATCTATCGGAATGAGCGTTTATAGTTTCTTGTTGCTTGACAACCCAAGTCTGAGGTCAGGGTTTGAAGCTGTCTTCTAATTCCTGGCTAGTTTTCTGAGCTGCAAACTTCAAATCCCTGTTTAGATACAATGCTTCTCTCCCTGCCTTCATGGTGAGATCCTGGTTACTGTTGTTGTTCCCACTGTATAAAGAGCCATGTGGAAGCACTTGTGAATTATAAGGCAGCTCTCCATACTATTGGCTTGCCATTTTATGAAGACACAAGCTCCAAACATTTGCCATTCAACTGTAGATTTTAGTTATCAACCATTGATAGTAATTTCATTAATCTACTTAAATATACTGTCTGCCATATTCTATTCATCAACTCCATACACATTGGAATTCAAGAATTTTTCAAATCAATTACAATGACAAGTTCAGCGGGTATCATCTGCATGAAACTATTACCCAGCGTGCTTTATCTATAATATAGAATCCATATTTCATTTCTAGGCACATTGTTAATTCACATCTGGCAGACATCCTCTGTATTACTCTTTCCATTTCAATCGAAAACCTTTATATACCAAGGAAAAAATTGTTACATATATCAACAGTGTGCTGTCATTATATCAGAGTCAAATCATTAAATCAGCATGCACAGTGTATCTTCTTGTATATTTTATTTTCATTGGTGTAACCTACCGGCATTAAAATGAATTTTGAATGTATAATAATTTTAAAGTTTACCCAAAAAGCCTTGCTTGTATCTCTTCAAAATAATTATTTTCCATTTTTCCTGGTGGTATTTGTATTCACTGTCTCCACCAATAATGATTTCTTAAAGAATCTGTCATTCTTGAAAGATTATATAATCAAAAAAAACATGTTAGGGTACTCTCTTTTTATTCTTATCCAAAGGACAGAATCAAGAACCCCAGCTCTCTTCCTTAGGCAAGATGTTACCCCAAAAAAGGGAGGGAGGAAAGGAAGGAAAAAACATTGATGATACTGAAATCTTGAGGCAACTCTAGGTATTCTGGGAGAAAAGTAGAAAAGCTTTATCTCCATTGTTGAAAATAAAACTGCTTTTAGTTTTGGTCTGGTCTCTGAGTGTTCTTTGTTAATTTCATTGTATGTGTATATAGTGTATATACATTCAATGACAATAAATTATTTTATTATTATTGTTATTGTTGTTGTTGTTGTTGTTGTTGTTGTTGTTGTTGAAAATTCAGAAGTATTTCCATTCTAGACAAAACACTTTGGCTCATTTGTCAAGGGAAAGTAGAGTGAAGTTATGTGATTACTATGGCTCAAATTAGACAACGACCCCAATCCTCTGGCCATGATGCCAGAGCCAACAGTCAACCTAGGCTCAAATCCTCCTACCTAGTTACAGTGGTGTAGGGTGAATGGCATAACTTTCTGAAACAAATTGCCCCACATTAAGAAATGACCATAAACCTTAATAATTGCACACTGAGTTGTATGCAACTGGTCATGCCCATGATGATTTCTTAGCTTGGAGAAATGAGCCTCTATATATCGTGCCATTTATATAGCTGAGCAAGAGGATTTTGGGCCAATACGTTGAGCACTTTTTTGCAGAGGTGCTGCCTCGGGTAGTGAAAGATGGGTGCCCATCGTAACATGTGTTCTTGTTTCTTTTCCTTTAGGTTGCAAATTTACTTCGGCTCTTCCAAATTCCTCAGATAAGCTACGCCTCCACCAGCGCCAAGCTGAGTGACAAGTCTCGGTATGATTATTTTGCACGAACTGTGCCACCTGACTTCTACCAAGCAAAAGCCATGGCCGAGATCCTACGGTCCTTCAATTGGACCTACGTCTCAACAGTCGCTTCAGAAGGTGATTACGGTGAAACAGGGATCGAAGCTTTTGAACAAGAAGCTCGTCTCCGAAATATATGCATCGCCACCTCAGAGAAGGTAGGCCGCTCCAACATACGAAAGTCCTATGACAGCGTCATCAGAGAGCTTCTCCAGAAACCCAACGCGAAGGTGGTTGTCCTCTTTATGCGCAGCGATGACTCCCGGGAACTCATTGCTGCTGCAAATCGGTTCAATGTCTCTTTTACGTGGGTTGCCAGTGATGGCTGGGGTGCACAGGAGAGTGTCGTGAAGGGTAATGAGCATGTTGCATATGGTGCAATAACCCTGGAGCTTGCTTCCCATCCAGTAAAAGAGTTTGACCGATATTTCCACAGCCTTACCCCATATGATAACCACCGTAATCCCTGGTTCAAGGATTTTTGGGAGCAGAAATTTCAGTGCAGCCTTCAGAACAAAAAGGCCCACCGAAGATCTTGTGACAAACATTTATCTATCAACAGTTCCAACTATGAGCAAGAGTCCAAGATCATGTTTGTCGTGAATGCGGTATATGCAATGGCACATGCCTTGCATAAAATGCAACGGACCCTGTGCCCAAACACAACCAAACTCTGCGATGCCATGAAACATTTGGATGGCAAAAAGCTCTACAAGGACTACCTACTGAAAGTCAACTTCACAGGTAACACCATCACATCACCTTTGAAACATTTCTTGCAAAAAAAAAAAAATGGCTGCAATGGAAAACTAGATTTCTGGTAGCCTGAAGTAGATAGGCCAGTGGAAATAAGAGAAAAGGTTCAGGGCTGCCCCGACTGACCTAGGCAGGTTGTGGTCGTCCATTCCATTCTGCCTGCTTCAAGAAACCTTTGCTGGCATTAAGGAGTAAAATTGTTCTGTATAGCAGAAGTAGGGAATGTATGGCCCTCTAGCTACTGTCACACTGCCTCCCATAAACGCAAGGCAGTAGAGGATGTTGAGAGTTTGAGTCCAGCAATGTTTGGAAGGCCATACATTTCCCATTCCTGTTCAGTACCAATAAATTGAATTTAAGCCTCAATTGGCATATGGCATTGGCTTCTTCAGTTGAGGCCAACTGCCTTATTCCAGATGCTTTGGCCAGTGCATATGAAAGGCTCCTGAAAGCAAGTGTTCTTCCATATACTTAAGAGCTTTGAAAGGAAATGGCATATAAATTTGCATCACTGCTCAATGTACATGGCAGATTCCGCTGTCAATAACTACTGCTTTGCAGATACAAGCCTAGAGGGCAAAAAAAAGAAAGGGGAAAAAAAGAATGTGGAAATGCTAAAAGTAAATAGGAAGTAGATGTCCTGCAAAATGGCTTAGCAAAGGAAGGGAAAAGCAGGGATCAAATTTCCAAATTCAGGGTTAGAAAAGGGGGGGTTGTCTTATACATTGAGTCATCTTATAAATGGAAAAATATGGTACCTGGTTTGAGGCTTCAGTCTCAAAAACACACATGTTTTGGGGGTCCATTCTTCAGGTCTCGGACTTTGGACCTGAAATCATAGAAAATGGGATGCTGCTCATCTGACAACCCTAGATGTTGAGATTTATTTTCATGGGTGCGGTAAATTCAGAGCAACACAAATGTCTAGTCACTGTTGCTCATTTTTACTATTCTGCCCACAAATACAACAATCAGTCTACTGCTGTCTACAGTCTGGCTGGGAAAGCTTTTTTTCTTTTCTTTTTGTTTTCCATTTTTCCCCCTTTTTGTCCTAGCAAATGAGAGTTATGAATTATTCAGCAAAATAGGTCCCTGTAAATCTGCATAATGGGGATTCAGGTGTTGGATTAACGAGCATGGACAATTTATTATGGATCATTTTTGCCATTTGATTCAGTGTTGCTAGGTAATCAATATTTCTCAGCTGAGGGCAACCTGCAGGGCAGTTTGTGATGATGAAATCTATCGATTCAGTATGCTGACAACTTCTGGCACTAACTTTAACACTGGTGATGAATAGGTGGTTGCCCGTTGCTTCCACGATCTAATCTTGCACATTGTTATGCGTGCAGATGTTCCGCTGGTTTTAAAGAAACATCCATATGAGTAACTGGAAGGCAATTTTCTATGGCACCATCAGGTATCTGTCATGTAGCATAAGATACATATGGCATATGGAATAAACATCGTGGTTGGATTGGATTTCTCACAAGCAACAAAATTACAAGCCACCTAGAGTAGTAATTGTACCAGATAGGCGGGGTATAAATAAAATAAATAAATAAATAAATTATAATCCAGTCTCATAAAATATTTACCACACAGTCAGGCTTGCAAAAAACTCTATGTCGGTGTTGAGTTAAAATTCATTTTCAGAAAACCAAGCAATGATGCTTTACACAAAGGTGGCTCTTTTTCTGACCACAGATAAGCAACAGAGCTATGCATAGATATGCACAGACAAGTGAACTGCTTAATTTTGTAGATCTATTTCAGTGACAGATATTTCTCCATATTTTGGAGTGGCCAGTAGAGGAAAATTGGAGCAATGACTTGCAATATGCAAAGGACTGATGCTGTAAATAGAGTTCTGAACTTTAATTTCATTTTTTAAAACTAAAAGAGATCATAAATACCTTTATGATTTGATAATGCCCAGCCAATGAAAATATTTGGCTAGCCATTTGTGTGGACACAGTTAAACACTTGTGTGGATGCAGTTAAGCATTCAGTTTGGTATTTAATTGTTGTTGTTTAGTCGTTAAGTCGTGTCTGACTCTTTGTGACCCCATGGACCAGAGTACGCCAGGCCCTCCTGTCTTCCACTGCCTCCCGGTATTAATACCTCTACTTAAATGTGATGGTCAGGATTATTAAATGTTTTAAGAGAATTTTATTTTCCCTTGAAAAAAATAAGGATGCTATTTATGCTTTTTTGATCTAAGCACAAGGAGGAACACTAAAACAAATGAAACAAAACATTGCAGGAGTATCTCTCTAATAAGAGTATACTTGGAGATTGATAAATCCTTTTTTTTCCTGTTTCACATCTGCTTCATATATATTCAGTCATAGATCTGTTCTGTCCAATATGGGCTTCAATCTGCACCTTTTTCCCCTTTCATTTTCTTTTCTTTAGAAAATAAGGAAATAGTCATATTTATCTATGTAATTTTTTCTAAAATGTGCATATTTGTATAGAGTTTCTGTAAAGTATTCTTTTTTTACGTTTTGGTTGAAATCCTGTTGCATAGCTTCACAAACACAATGGGGGTGATGGTGGCAGCGGCATCAGTAGCAAATCGTCATTGATTAAAGGCTTCTTTGGGGGATTTCTGGTTGCACACAACTTGTACACAGTGCTGGTTGAAATCCTGTTGCATAGCTTCACAAGCACAATGGGGGTGATGGTGGCAGCGGCAGCATCAGTAGCAAATCATCACTGATTAAAGGCTTCTTTGGGGGATTTCAGGTTGCACACAACTTGTACACAGTGTGATAAAGTCATGTGCACCCCAAAATCTCCTTTAAAAATGTGCACAAACTTCCATTCCACAGTTCGGTTTGGTTTGGACATGTGGCCGCACAGGTTCTCCTGTGAGTTCCCCAGCTTCCCAGCCCTGCCTCCTCTAGCAGGCGCCCACTCAGAGGCAGTGGTGTGGCTTCCCAGCCTTGCCTCCTCTGAGCACTGCCTCTGACTGGGCACACACACCCCCGGAGGAGGCAGGACTGGAAGCCGCACCACTGCCTCTGAGTTGGTGCCTGGCCGAGAAGCCAGGGCTGGGAAGCCAGGGTGCGTATGTAAGAAATTGTGTGGCTGAACCACCAAACTGCACCAAACCACAAAACAGCAGTTTGTGCCCATCTCTAATCACCTTTAATCCATGTTGATCTGACATTAATCAGAACTAATTTGCCAACTGTCAGTGATGTTATCTTTGTTGCACACACAGCCAGGCAACAGAGTTTCGGCCAATTTCTCCCAGGACTGTGCTTTTTCTGACCTGAGAACTGTGCTATGTTGCACACACAGCCAGGCAACAGAGTTTTGGCCAATTTCTCCTGTGCTTTTTCTGACCTGAGAACTGTGCTACGAATTTTGGAGAAGTACACAATCCAGCCTGCACAATTCCAGCCAGCCTATCACACAGAGCTTTGCAGATTAGATTGGCTTGTATTAAAATGCAAACTGAACAAAAAAAATCCTGCCCATGTCATAACAAGTATGAACATTTAACTTTTCCAGAGGATTGCTTTGGTACATGAAGTGTCACTGTGTATATTTACCCCTATCACACAGAGCTTTGCAGATTAGATTGTCTTGTATTAAAATGGAAACTGAAGAAAAAGAAAAATCCTGCCCATCTCATAACAAGTATGAATATTTAACTTTTCCAGAGGATTGCTTAGGTATATGAAGTGTCACTGTGTATATTTACCTCTCTTATTAAGTAGATCTTAATCAGATACAGAAATTGAAACAGCCCGTACATTTTGCCTAAATTTATGTCTGTTACACACAAGTTGAATTTTGGTCATTGTTCTAAAAAGGAGGGCTGCATTAGTCATTTTCTCAAGTAATTGGTAAGATTTGTTTTTGGCTCAGTTTTAAAAGTGCCATTTGAAAGAACAGAAAATGTTTAATTATTATTTTTGACTGAAACTATGCATAATATGCACCCTCTAAGAAAAGTTCTTCCCTACCTCTTGTTTAGTTAGTTATGTGCCATTAAGCTGGAAAGACTTACAGGAACTCTAATAGGGCTTTCAAGATAAGTGAAGTATTTATGAGGGGTTTTACCAGCTCCACACCTTCAGACACCTTCCATGGCCAGGTGGGGATTTGAACTCAAGTCTCCTGAATCCTAGACCATCACATCACTCTGTTCACTACACCACTCTGGGTAACCCTCTTCTTGTTTACATCGGTAAATATATATATTCCTTTCCCTGCACCATATTTAAATGCAAATTCCATGGATCAACCAATGGTTTAACAGCACAATCCCCTGTAGACCTAGAATGAATAGTCAGTGGGGTTTACTCCCTGGTAGTAGTGGGGGTTGGTCCATGACATCAAATGGCACACAGCCATGCCCTCTCAGGCTTCCCTCTGCCTTGTTCTTAGCAGAGAATGGGAGTGGGTGGGTACATTTTTCCACTCCCGACCTAAACTGTAGAATGAATTAATGCAGTGGGGATGACACAGCATCTAAGTGAATACCTGCCCCCCTCTCTCTGTGAGTGAAAAAGGGAAGATTTGTAGGGAAAGATGCACTTCTTGGGTGGATGCACATCTACTTATTTGCCTGGCTCTACCTCTCACCCCTGGTTTTACACACCAAGGCCTTCTGCCCTGCCAACCAAAACAGGCTCCAGGCACTGCTGCCACCTGAGGGTGAACAAGCAAATATTATCAATGTGATGACTGCTAGAAGTGTGGAACTACAATCCCTTTCATCCCCAGTGATTTGTGGGCCAGCAAATCTGGAGGATGCCAAGTTGGAGAAAGCTCTTCTATATAGGATAAGAACCAATACAGTACAAGCTTCTGATCAGGAGGACAAGTTTTAAAGGACACTTCCCTATGAACTTTGAGAGGTGACCATGCGTCAGTCAGTTTCTCTTTGCCTCACTACCTCACGGGATTGTTGTGAAAACAGTATGTAATGGTGGAACCAGGTGTGCCACTTCATGTCCCTTGGAGG